ACATAACAATTTTAAAAAATAAAAACTCGGTAGGAGAATTTATAATTAATATGTAAGAAAAATGTCATGATTTAACGTTCTCATTTGTAAGTTTTTTCCTTTATCATATATTATATCTTTTGATAATGAGTACAGTGATTTAAAAAAATTTTAAATGGCCTATAGTCAGCCCGAATGAAAAAGATTGAAGGTTTTTTTTTTAAATACAATAATTTATGCCCCCATATGTAAAAAAACTTGGTTTTGCCCCACATGACACTAACATATGCAAGAAAGATGTCAACATGTTTGTATTAAGCCAAATGAGCTCCAATGAATGAACGGAGAGGGAAGAAAGAGTGAAAACAATAGAAAGATAAATGTAAAAGAAGAAGGAAATCTTTATTTTGTTATATCAGACAGACTTGTATAGGGCATGAGTATAAATAGATACAAGGCAGGTAAAGGACTAAGCTAATTACAGTAAAACCAGATGACGTGTTAGACGTCCTAATAGGCCCCCTCAAACTGATCATTCAGTGACTGAATGGTCACTTTGCTATGAAGTTCTTGGAAGTGAGAAATGGGTAGCGGTTTGGTAAGAATATCTGCGATCTGGTCGGTGGAGCTGATGTGCTAGCGGTGATATGTTGTCTGATGAAATGATAATCGATTTCGATGTGTTTAGTCCGTGCGTGAAACACTGGATTCTTTGCTAGTGCAATTGCCGAGGTATTATCACAGTAAAGTATAGCGGGATCTGTTTGAGGAATTTTGAATTCATCTAACAGCCGGCGAAGCCATAACAGATCAGAGGTGGCGACGGAGAGCGAACGGTATTCGGCTTCAGTGGAGGACTTGGCGACCTTTGTTTGCTTCTTTTACGACCAGGAGATCAAGGTTTGGCCAAGAAAGGTGTAGAATCCAGATATAGATTTCCGGTCAAGTATATCTGATGCCCAATCGGCGTCGACATAGGTGCGTAGCTGAAGATTTCCAGGATCAATGGGTAACCCGAAGTGTAATGTGCCTTTAACATAGCGAAGAATACGTTTTAGAGCTTGATTGTGACCAACTATTAGAGCGTGTATATATTGGCATGTTCGATTTGTAGCAAACACGATGTTTGGATGAGTTATGGATAGGTACTGAAGAGAACTTGCAAGCTGGCGATACATGTGCAGGTCGTGAAATGCTTGATCTGCCTCGGATGCTGTAGTAGTTTTTCAAGGCGATCGGTGTAGGAGCAGAGCTGCAGTCAGCTAGTTCCGAACTTTATAGTAGCTGAAGAGCATAGTGGCGTTGATGTAGGAAGTAACCTGTGGAAGTTTTGAGAATCTGAATGCCGAGAAACAATGATACATTCCCGAGCTGCTTGAGTGCGAAGTGAGATTGCAGTTGTTTTAGAAGAAGGTCGAGAGTCTGTTCATCATTACCTGCAATTAAAATATCATCTATGTAAGTGAGAAAATAAATTTGAATGTGATTGCGACTAAAGATAAGGAGAGAGGGTCAAAACGACTAAACCTGAATCCAAAATTTTGAAGAAAGTCTGTGAGTTTCTGAAACCATTGGCGAGGAGCTTGTTTGAGGCTGTAGAGTGATTTGTGTAGTTTGCAGACATGGTGAGGAAATTGCGAATCGACAAATTATGGAGGTTGTCGCATGTATACTGTGTCGTGCAGGTCACCATGGAGGAATGCGTTCGATATATCTAATTGAAGAACCGGCCACTGGCGATGTATAGCAAGAGTTAGAAGAATTCGGATGGTAGGCATTTTAGCCACCGGGCTGAAGGTTTCGGTATAGTTGACGCCAAATTTTTGAGTAAATCCTTGAGCGACCAATTGAGCATTGTGGCGATCCAGTTGACCGTTAGGTAGAATTTTTGTTTTGTAAGTCCAGTGGCAGCCAAGAATTAGTGTATTCTCGGGGACCAAGTGCGTTGTTTTTGTAGTGCACGGAATTCGTCAGACATAGCGTCGCGCCAGTGTTGTGATTTTGATGCTTGAGAATAAGTGAGAGAGGTAGATGGATCAGAGATGGTGGCACCGAGAGTGAATATTTGTTTGGGCTTGCGGATGCCAGACGTGGCACGGGTCTGCATATGATGGACAGGTTGACTAGTAAGCGGTGGTGATAGAATCACTGAAGGAGAATTTACCGCATATATGGAATTGTCAACTTGAGAAGTACTGGAGGAGAGGTTAGGTGTAGCAGAAGATGAATGAGGCACGGTTATGTTACGAATGGTGGAGATGGGTGTTAGAAGAAGTGGTGAAATAAAAGATATTGGTGTGGATGATGAAGTTGATTTAGTGCTGTAGGGGAAGATGTCTTCTTGAAAAGTGACATGCCTGGAGATTTGAATCTTGTTGAAGACGGGATTTATACATCGATAGCCTTTGTGTTGAGAGGAGTATCCGAGGAATATGCACGGTTGAGAGCGAGGGGATAATTTGTCGGAGACGTAAGGTCGAAGCCAAGGGAAGCATAAGCAACTGAAAGTGCGAAGGTGGGTATACGCTGGAGGGGTACCGTGAAGCCAGGTGTAGGGAATTTGATAAGAGATGGCTGATGTCGGTAGTCTATTAATTAGATAGTTTGCAGTAGATAGTGCATCGGCCCAGAACTTTTTCGGTAGCTGAGAGGCCACAAGAAAGGTACGTGTGAGTTCAAGAAGGTGTCGATGCTTCTGTTCTGCTAGGCTTTTTTGTTCTGGGGTATGCGAACAGCTGAGTTGATGTAAGATGCCTTGAGATTGTAGGTAGGATTGAAATTGCGTGCTAGTAAACTCACCCCCACCGTCGGAGCGAAAATTTTTTGGAGTTTTGTGAAATTGATTTCTTACTAAGGAACATAACTAAGTGAATTTTGAGAACGTTTCGCTTTTTGAATGCATGAAGTATAGCCATGTGAATCGCGTGAAGTCATCGATAAAGATTACATAATAGGAGTAGCCGTTTAATGACTGTTCCAGAGTAGGCCCCCACACATCAGAATGAATAAGATAAAATTCATGAGGAGAATTCGTTGTACTTTTATTAAATGACAGTTTATGGCTTTTAGCCATATTACAAGAAGTACAAGACAATTTGGTATTTAAAGAAGCTAGATTAGGTAAGTGGTGTCGAAGCTACGAAAGAACACAAATTGGCGGGTGACCGAGACGGGCATGCCAGAGATGAGTAGAAGAGGTTGTGACATTGAGAGCTTGCGATTGAGTGGGACGTGCGAGCTGCAGTTTGTACAGTCCATCAGATAGACGACCAAGAATAAGAGGACGGCGGTCCTGAAGATCCTCAATAACAAACCCATTAGC